CACATGTAAAAGTTTTTTTGTTACAAAATCGGTTGTTGGTCATTAATGAATTAACATGAAAACATTTACTATTGATGCATTTTTTTAACAAAATTCTTAAAATATATTACAAAACTCTATCTGTAAAATCAGCACCACCACCTATACAAAAGTAGCGTTTTTAATGAAATTAACCAACTTTTTGACCACTTACGATCTTAATTATACAATTAATTTACAATAAATATATACTAATTCCTTATATTTATTATAATTTCTTAACTTTTCTTCATATAACACAAATCTCTATCTTAAAAGTGTATACCACCTTCCATACAGGTCCATTTGTAAATTGTATTTACGTATCTTAAATTAACAAATCTATTTTTGAATAGCCTATATTTTACTATATACAAGAATATATATATAATATATATGTATTATATATATAGAATATATCGTATAAGATATATACCTATATCTTTATAAGAATTTTTATGCAATATAAATTCCTTTTCTTCTGTGACTTTGGTCAAATTATGCACCACGTTCTGGTATGTGATTATCCACTTGCATCTTCTGACCCAGTTTTATAAGTAATTTCGCGCCATTGAGATAATGTGAGGTATTTTAGGCTGGTTCGGTGTTCGTACACTTCAACTCATTGAAAAGCGGTACATATTTTAATGGCTGCTGTTAAAATGTTTCGTGCTGTTATGATTGTACTTATAATAAATAGATTTGTTATCAGTTGCTATTGACAGCAATATCGGAAAAAATTGAGCATGTTATCATGAGAAAAATAAATTTTCAGTAAAGAAGAACACACCCTTAATTGCTTTTTAATAATATATATTACCGCCAAAAAATTGTATCGCGTTTGATGAAGATTTTAAAATCAGTGATGTAAATACTCAAAAAAACAACTTAAATAAGAATTGCACCTAATTAATCAAAAGTAAATTTAAACAATAAAAAATTTGTATAATCTTTAAACAGCCCTCTTTAATATTATTAATAAAAGTTTTCTATATTATCGCCAAATGATTGCTTTACTTCTTCTTCTTATCATTATATTTTTGTAAAATACTCTAACCGTGCAGTTGACAGAATAACAGAATTCATTACACACTAAGCTAGGCCTATAGCACAAGATCTAAGATGCGAATCCTAACTTGGGTGAAGTTTTTTTCATTTTAATTTCCTAACTATTACAATTGAATTAAATATAATATATACATTCATTTTAATACACGCATTCATTTTTAAACAAACTGTACATAAAATTATTATTACCATAAATGAAGCATAATCTGATGTTTTTGATTTTCCAGTAAATATGGAATTCTGTTTACAAAATAAAAATTTATATTATTCGGGAATATACCTAGTACAAGGTTCAATTTAAACCTTAAGGAAAGCAAGATAAAATTACGAAAGGTATATTGACGTCCTAATGTAGTCAGATCAACACAACAATATAGATGTGCCCAAATATAGTAGAAGCTTTGAAAACATTAAACTATTAAAAAACGTGACATTGAAGTCAATGTTATCCCCGAATCTAATTTAACAATTAATCATCGCAGAGAATTTAACCACAGATATCCTATTTTTTTTTTTTTTTTGATAATGTTCAATCTCAAAAAAATTAATATATAACAAAATTATAGCAAACCATAACTTTATTTAGTCGGAAAAGTTTATTATTGGACTTTTTGAATCTAATCATTTGCTTTCATATGTAAAATCTATATATATGGCATTCAAAGGCTTCTTAAAGGTACTCTTTGAGTAATGATCAGTTAACTGATGAACTGTCCGCTTTGTAATAGCTCACTAACCATTCATCATATATTTAGGACGTGTGCGAGTTAGGCTAAGTTGCATTCTAAATAAGGGAAATTATAAGTTGTGCCGATAATGAAGTAATGTGTAGATATGTGCTGATAAATGACTAAATGTGTGCAGTGCAAAAAATCCCAAAAAATTTCCCATTTGGTTTAGCATCAATTTAGCCTAACTCGCAAACGTAACTAACGTTTACTCTACTTTTGATTGTATTCAAAATATTATCTTTTCAAATTATTTACTCACCAATCGTTTAATATATACACTAGTGTTTATACATAATATACGTACTAGTTATATTTAAAGAAGTTTATTGTTTACTAGAAATTTTTAACATATCTAATAGTACATTATGAAAATAAAAAGAAAAAATTTCAAATATTTAAGTACGTAATTTAAAAAACAAATAACTTTAAAATTATAAATATGCTATTTAGTTCATACTTATAATAATGTGCTTTCAAAAGTACAATTGTGCAGCCAAACACCGTTTTATTTGGTGTACATCAATCATCTATTGCTTCTATGGCTTCAATAATAATACCGAAGTAGAAACAAGTGGAAACTATAAAACTATTTTCACAAGGTAATAAGGTAAGCTCGCTATAAGCTCGCAATCTAAAAATCCTTAAACTAAATTTTATGTTATTATGCTTCCTCCTTATCATCACACTAATTACGGAAAATGTTGTTCTAAATATTCTGAGATCCCTATTACAAATCTATGAAACTTTTTAAATACAAATGCAAGTAATAATCGCATTTCAAATCCAGCAGGCTTCGTAGTATCTCAAGTTTTTATCGGCAGCATAAACTCATGATAAACTGCTTAAAATATTAAAGGCGTAAAAGCAGTAAAATAGTAAATTGCTTAAAGCATTTAAAAGAGCCATTGATAAGAATAACAAAGTATTTCAGCAAAATAACACTACAAAACTATTTTGCACAGAAAAAGATACAAAAGAAGAGTGGCGGTTATAAGTCAAGTGCATCTATGAGCTGTAAAATGCAGCATCTTTCATTCGTACGGAGACCTCTACCTCCTCAAAACCCGATGTAAAGTCATCATTGCTGATGAAAATAGAAACATTAACTTACTGTTGCTCGTCATACCATGACAGTAAGCAGCTACCGATTTTACTTGCTCATTGATTTTGCTACTTTTCGTTATTTTTTGTTATTTTTTTAAGTCGTGCACAATTTTCTGTACCACATGCATATCTAAAGTTTTGGTACATTCGTATCGTCTCGATAAACGTTTGTGTGATGTAGTTAAAGGTAGTATTTTAAACAGTGCTCAAGGAACTATTCAAAATGTTCAAAATTCCATTGTGTTGCAGCTTTGCAATATTGCAGCGTAACAGAGTTAATATTCTTTCGTGTATTAAGTCAGTGATATGAAAAGTACGTGCATTGTAGCTTTTTCCGAATATTTTATTTATTATGGTAAAATATATTCATATATATATAAAGAATATCATTTTGAGTCTATACAATATCAGATAGTGTGAGCTAGTTTCGGCGCAAAAATGAACTTTATCAATGATTTTATAATACCTACTTTTACAGATCTGATTTATTCTTTTTACACTCACTTAACAAAGTAAATAATTTTAATATCATATTGATGTTAACTTACATATCGTTTAGTTGTTTCATTTTTGAAAATTTATTGTAACTAACGAATTTAGTGCAATATCTCATCTTATATCAGATAAGAACCATATTTGGGTCATAATAAAATAAAATAATACACACAGACAATTGCTGACGTCATACAAGTACACCACTTTCTTGTTCCTGTACTTAACTAAACTGTCATAGTTCAGGAAGTACCGCTCACTTGTTTCGACCGAAATACAATAATAAGTCAATAAGTGGTCTTACAGATGTGAATATATAGCATATACCCAGATCTTGATTAAATCCGAAAAAGAAGAAGGCACAAGTGTTGACCTCCTAATAGAAGAAATATTTGTTTAATTAAACATGGTGTGAAGTGGTGGTTCACCAGATAATCTAATGCATCCTACTGAAGCGATAATAGTAAAATCAAAAATAATCCCAAAAGCGCAAAATTATTCTTGGCACATACCATACATATACCATATTTTATTATTTGTACTCGAACACAATAAATAAGGAAAGCATCAAAGAAAAAAAGTACAAATAAATATAAAAAATTTAAGAGTTATGGTCAACGATATCGAAAATACAATTTCCAACCGTAAGTAAATAAATATCTCAATATTGAAATTGATTAAGCTATAATATTATTAATAATCTACACTAATGGATCTCATTTACAAATGAATGAGGTTGGATAAAATCTGCATATACACTCTTATTAGGTTAAGCTTACTTATACCAGTGAAACAAATTTTCAAAAAATAATCAAATTTATCTATCAATAAAAACGGTCGAGAATGATAGCTGGCAAAGCCTCGGACATAATTTTATAGTGAATGACAACGCCATCATAACTAGAAGTTCAAACCATTTTGAGTTAACATACACACTTTACGGCTCTAACATAAGCATAAAAGCAGTTCAAACATGTACACGAATATCCTAATCCAGGAAATACACACCGCTATAGTGCGCATGTCTCAGAGAACATCTCTAAAGGATTTCTAATAACGATTTTTGAAAGCAACAATGTTCCTGTAAGTACAATAGTTCAATAATTTATCATTTTTCTACATTCTGTTATAAATATATTTAAACTTTAACATCTATGTTCCGGATGTGACCATCTATAATGTCATAATTTATCCTAAAAGCTTCATTTTCATTAACCCTAAAAACTCTTCATTTTCTTTATTATTATCATTATCTTTATTAGAAATCATACTACAAAGTACAATCCATATATTCTATAACTAGCTACCTTACAGTAATGAGTTATAATATTTATGTAATATTTAATTTTTTAGACAGTTTACTCTTGACACATGAAATAATAACATATGCGACACTAAATTATCTTTATAGATTTTTAATAATGTTAGGTTAGTTTAAGACTGTTAAACTTGAATTTCATTGTTAAAAACTGAAATATCTGGGAGAAAAAACGACTGCAACCTTAAGCTCGGCACTTCCAAAAGAAGCGTTAAAAACCGTTAAACTATAGAAAAATCAAAGAGGAAAAAGTATGTTCTTTTACTTACCATCTCCGGATATGCTTCCTTGGGAACTGAGAGAGTCTTCTGAAAGTAAATATTTGCATTATTACTCTTGATTCCCTTTGTTCAAAGAATATATTTGAATTAATATTTAACATATAGTTTTTAATCGAACTTTGTTAAGCGCACCTTGTCTGTACTTACCAGCATTGTTTTGAGTTTCATTTATAGCTGCTATCCACTCTGCCGCGGAATGAGGTACAAAATTCGTTGCATTCGTTGATGGAGGATTTGTTGCATTACCATTATGAGCACAATACTCTTTTTATATATCAAAAAAAACAAAAGAAAAGAAAAGGAGAATATTGTTACTTTTCGTAGTTAGAAGACACAATAGCAAAATAGCAACAAAGTATTATGAGCATTTGCGCTTAGAGCTGCAAGCAGAATTTATACCATTGAAATTACTCTATTTTTGCCTTTAAATGCATTTAGCATTTAGCATTTATTGTTGAAACCATTTTGCATTCATTTACTATTATTATTTTTATAAAAATGTTTTTATTTCATAAATATATGAAAATAAATGTGTCTTACATTTTTTTACAAATGATTCGTATTCGATTTCATTTACATAAAAGACAATGGCTCTGGAAAAAACGGAACCATACAAGCATCCAAGCATCTAGGGTAAAGCATCTAATTTAACAAATCTAATTTCTAAAAAAAACCGGACTAGTCCTTAAATCTATTGCTTGCGTGTTTCTTTGCACGTTCAACAACAAGTGCTTTATCAATAAATGGAATAAGGAAGTTTATTGCAGACGAGGATATCCCATAGATAAATACCAAAATAGCATTCTAGGTATGCCCGTGATTATAAGGTAAATAATTCAAGAACTTTTACTTAAGAGAATAGGTTTAGATATAAAATGAAAAGTTTTGAATGCATTCTTAACATTGTTATTATTTGTAGTATTTTTTTGTAAAGACCTTTGGTTTTGTCATCGCTTTGTAAAGTGATGTACGGTATGTGCTGGCGTGATTGTTGTTGCTGGTTAGTTGATTGGAGTGCTGCTTGATCTAATTGTGGCTGTATATGATCAGAAGAACTGTTGGTACTTGGATGATGGTTATGTTGATTGTGATGCGAGGAGGAATGATGAAAATTGTGTTGTTGGTGAGTTAAAACTGCTGATACTGAACAAAGTCCATGACCTAATTGAGCTGGCTGCATTTCCATACTGAGCATATCATATATTTCCTACAAGATAAATTAAAAATATTGTAAAATGTGTAAAAGCATCTTAGAAGAGAATCTGATATGAATGTAATAGCTTTTTTATTAATGTAGTTTATTTCAAAATATAGGGGAATCTTCAACAAGTGTGCACATAGAAGCGCGTGCTCTTTTTACTAGCCACAGAAATGCTGTACACTAACAGGTAGCAATCATAATACACTAACAAACTTCAAACGCGTAGAAGATCTATTCTTCTATGGTTTTTAAAAGTGATAAAAGTGATAAAAGTGATAAAATTGATAAAAGCCGCATTGGTACTTGAACTCGTGTTTTAAGAGTTCAATTATAGTGGTTTGTCACGGCATCATGAAAAGCAGATGATCTGTTAAACTAAATCGTTTAAATGATCTGTTAAATGACAGAAATGAGAATGCTTGCTTAAATATCTCACAGGAGTTATTTCAGAGTTGATTCTTGGTCTATGTTGTAGATGGATGCCGTAGCTGCATTTTCCCTGAAACAATTTCGTTAGTTTAGATAGTTTAGATGTTCGTTAGTTCGAGAAGTGGCGGCAAAATAAATTCTCATTGAAACAGTCGTTCAGTTTTCACTAAAAACTGTAGGCATTGCGTGTAGCTGTTACACAACATATGAGAAGTCGCGCTTTTTACAGCAATTCACCTGTTGTTTATTGGCATTTGCGTGCGCGCTGCTGTTTTTAATAGTTTTCTGTGTGTGCCCCTTTCTCTTATTTTTTGTTCTTCCTCACATAATGAGTGTTCAATAAAATTATTTTTAAGGAAACGAATAGAACGGGGGTTGGAAAATGGTTAACTAGAATAGCACACCTGTTGCTTTTTCTTCGCCCTTTCGGTGTTAGAAACTTATATTTATATTTACAGGAAAAACACAAAATTATGTTTATTCTATGTCAGTTCCAGAGAGCAACGAACGGGACGTTAATGCATTTCGACCTTAAGTCAAATTATAAAAACTTATCGCCCGATGTAGTAAAGGACGCACGTTTACGCTAATAAATGTGAGAGTTCTAAGAGTTCTAAGCCCTAATAGCGAACGGGCTTTGTTTGCAACAAAGTAACGCTCTCCAATAAATTCATATTAGATATTTATACACATATAGGTTTAGGGTATGTGAGTACTTATGAATATGCATATGCATATACATAGGTGTATGTATATCTCAAAAATAACTAAATCGTTGATATTTTTCAGGATAAACAGCTACAGTTTTACGTAATAGCTAAATATCTAAAATAGTTATACATATGTACATTCTTTATTGTTTTACTAGCGCACACTTATTCTTTCATCCATTCATCCACCACTGCAAAGGCTAGTAGTGTAGTGTAGTTTATATGTGGGAAATGAAAATTCCTTTTGCTGTCTGTTTATCTGTTTATCTGTTTATTTAAATTTCATGCTACTAAAAGAAATTTAAAACAAAACAAAACAAAACATAAAAAATGAAAAATAAAAAATAAAAAATAGTTCACATACATATACATAAATAAAATAAATTAAAATTTTTGACAGAAGTAAACGCGTATTTACCCTAATTCCAGTAGATGCGAGCTAAAGTCGCGCGCATTGTACTTTTAGTGAATACTAAAAGTGCAAGTCCTATTTAATGAATTGTAAAGCAACAGACTGAAGGGGTTTACCCTACCAATTTCTGTTTTGACCTCTTTACAAAATGTGAACATCCACCACCTTGCACTTTTATTAGCATGTAAATTGAGTTCTTTTAAAAACGCTATCT